CTAATTCACACTAGTTTCTACATTGCTACTGTATAGATTGAAGAAACATTATGCAGCATATGAACCAACATTGAAGCAGTTGAAACATAAATATGAAGTAGCCATGAAAGAAAAGATGCTTAGTAAATTGGAAAGAGACAGAGCTATTGGACAGGTATGTAGATAGAAATGTAATTTCTGCTGTTGGGCAAATATCCAAAAGTTTAGAAACTGACTAGTTAAGTGAAAACCAGTTTACTTGTATCTGCTTTTAAATGTTAGGTGCTGTCTTGTAGGTTATAATAATACACAGATTTAACATACAATGAGTAAAACAATGCAATCCAGCTGGCTGGTTTGTGGCAATTGTACTTTTTTTTCTTACTCGGACAGTCTTGGCTAAAGACAATTTTAAAATATAGAAAATGCTGAAATCACATAGAATGTCATGCAAGTTTGTTGAAATGCAGCTTTTCTGAAGGTAGGCAAAGCAACCTCACTAGTATCTGCAAAAATAAACAATGCATGTTCATGGTATATACAAAGCACTGTAGGCCAGGGAGTTCAAAATACTTTATTTAGCAGAAATATGTTTTGAAAAGTTTGAATGAGTTTAAAGAGTTATTCAAGAATATCAGAAAAGTATTCACTGCGATAGTATCACATTGATCTCTGCATCTCATTGGTTAATACAGTACTGCCTTTAATTCCTATATTATACATAACATTTTTTGAATCTTTCTGATATTAAAATAAAACCCAAATATGAATGAAGTGTTTTCATCTCAGGTTACAGGTCTTCAGTCAACTCTCAAGAATCTAGAGAATATTGGCAAAGATGTCAGAGTACCAGATACCAGAATACTGAGAGAATGTATGTTCCAAGAGCTGGGACCCTCTCAGAGATCATTGGTAGAGGCCAGAATACAAGAAGATATTCTAAAAGATATTGGAAACCAAACACAGGATTCTAAGAGACATCCTGATGTAAGTTGGTCTATTAAAAAAGATGTTTATTTAATGTGTTCTCAGAATTTTCTCAACTGGAAGTGTGTTACTAGTAACACAGAAGCCTTGTTGAAAAATGTGCATCCTACCAAAATAAATTTAAGTATTACTGTAAATAAAGCAGATATAAACAGCGTCCGGATAACTTTCGGAAATTCCGTCGCGTTTCGGAAAGATTTAATTTTCACAACTTTTGAATATTTATTCATACTTTTAGGCTAGTGAGGAGGTTATAATAATTTTTCATTTCACTTTAACTCTGTTTTTTTCACCCCTCAGACCCCTTTGAAAAGTCACTTCTGGCCATTGTAATGGCCACTATTTTTTTAATGGCCAGAATACCAACCAGAAATTTTTTAATGGTCAAAATATTGGCCAGTATTTTCAAACTGGTAGTTATAATGACCACTATTTTTACACTGGTCAGAATAATAGTAATTTTTTATTTAATGATGGAGTGGGTGACAATCTATTTTTTTAATGGGTATTATAATGATCATTTTATTTTTCATTACATGAATAAAATGGTCATTTTTTTTTTTCATGTCACAGATATACCCGGTAATGGCACATGGGGATTGACAGCTCTCCTCTTTTTCCTCACTCGCTTCAGTTTGCTTTAATTTTAAGCCAGTACAATTGTAGGTAAACGTAAAATACAAGATTTTGAAAAATTTGAAATATGGAATTATATATCTTGAAAAAATATGACGTTTTGGGTTAATTTGTTTTTAAAATCACAACAAATCATGCACTTGATACTGTTGACTTAATAATATATAGTATAATGCAATAGGTTATTGAACATAGAGATGACCCGTTTTCAAATTCGGTCTAGACCCTTATCACGGGTGCTAATGAAGTGTGTGCAAAC